AAAAAAAAAAAAATACTGCTCACAGTTGGATCACAAAGTGCGATGGCTCTCTAGCACACACTGCCTGAGGAGCCCACAGCTTACCTGGGTGCCCAAGGCTCACCTCACCTCTGAGGCTTATGGACAGCCTCCACGCTCAGAAAACAAGCAAGTGTACTTTGATGGGGAGAGTGGGGTGAAGGGGATGAGAAATGCGCTATAAATCCTTTACCCCTCATCTTGGGGCTATTTCAGGGACACATTAGATTTGGGTATGGCTTTGCCACGACCTTAAGCTGACAAAACGGAGGTCTTAGAATAAACTGGACAAGACAATTCAAACTTTTATTCGACCATAAGTTCAATATCATATAACATAAAATCAACATTTGGAATAAATAGCAATTTCACATTCAGAATAAATAGTAAGTTTACTTAATTTGCATTTGTTGTGCCTGATAGACAGACACAATCCATCGTTCAGCCAAATAATAAAAAACAGTTTCCTAAGTAATGTTCAAGCCTGCAGAACTGCTAGAAAAGTTCAGAAGCATTGTGGGCTGGGGCCCCAGAAACCAGATGCTGAAATGGCGACTCCAATGCAGGAAGTTTGCAGCTGCGTGTTCCTGGGATCACACTGGGGAAGGGAAGGAAGCAGGGCCAGTGGGTGGGAGGGGAGCGGGGTTGGGGGGGCCCATAGCTGGGCTGCAGTGCAGAAACCACCCCGCCACCACCCCCTCAAGCTCTGGAGCTCATGGGCCTTGGGGTTGCTCACTCCACTAGTCAAGGGGTACAGGACGCTCCAAGAGGCTGCCCCCTTCTCTGAACAGGCCTTTCAGCAGCTGGAATCCACCGCAGTGCACCCAGCAGTCAGGGGAGTGGGTCCACAAAGAGACCCCGGTGGCCCGGCCGCCCTCCTGCGCCCAGGGCCATCGCAGGCAATGCAATGAGTGTATTTAACTCACATCGAGCCTGGCAGCTCAGTCCCACGCCATGGCAGCCAAGCCGCGTGCGTGGACACTATTTTATCATTGATCACGCAAGCAAATGTGCCCAGAGCACAGCTCTGAGAGCCAGCTGGCCCTGGCTACCCACACACGATGGCCTGAGGGCCAAATCCAGCCTGCAGCCTGTCGATCCCCACGGCACACAGCCCTGCCCACTAGCAGGGAAAGTCTGGGACCCCTGCCTCAGAGAAAGCCATTGCCTTTTCTCCTCTTAACCTACCAGCGGTGTTAAAGGTCAACTACCTTGGAGTCAAACTCCCAAATGCTAAGGAAAAGAAAACAGGAACTTGATGTTAAGAGGGGAAAGTGGGTCCTCCCGTGGCACAGGGCCCTCCCTGGTTAGGACGCAGCGCTGCAAGCTGGCCACAGCGGCTTCAGTACAAGTTCGATCCCCACCCCGGAGGTGACCCACATGGCGTGGCAGACTTCTCCTGACCTGCCCGCTGCTCCCCTCAGCAGTGAACTTCATGGATCTGCCTATTCTGCTCCCTACTCCGTCTCTGGTGAAGCTTCTCACCACACCTGCACCTCTGGCTTGTATCCCAGTTCTATATGAATGAATAAATAAAACTTAAAAAAAAAAAAAAAGAAGAGAGAGGAAAGCACAGGTGCCCTGGAGTAGCAGAAAGCCTTGGAATTTTCCAGACAGGGAGCCTGGAATTCAATCCTAACATTTAGCATATGCTCTACTGCTGAAAAGGCCATTGGGGAGGAAAAGAGAAAAGCCATTCTGTTGCCCAAAGCTAAATTAGCTAAGAGGAAAGACTGCTGTTCCCATCTCCTCTGTGATGCCGAGAGGCGATGTTCAAAGCAGCAGAGGTTAGTCTGAGGCGTGCCCGTCAGTTCAGGCAGTGCCCGTGACCGGGGTGGAAGCAGCAGCGGAGGAGACCAAGAGCAGGTCTCTAAACAGAGTTACGTTAGAGAGTGGGAGCTCGGAGGCAAAGTCCTAAAACAGCTAAAAAGCCAGGTCTGTGGCTCTCTACCTATCTGTGAAAGGAACGCTGGGAAAATCAGCCTGTGGGCCCCTTCCCAGGCCCCTGCCCTGTGCGTCCAGCTGGCATGGACTCGCCCAGGCTATGGATTTTTATGCCCATGATTCTTGGACCATCAGTCTAACCAATGCCCAAAAAGGGAGACATCTTAAAATATGCACACTGATTTTATTCTGTTCCTGTGCCTGACTTTTTAAATGGCAGAGCATAGATTCACTTCCCTGGGAGCAGTATGCTTTCATCAAAGTGCACACCAGAGAACCATCTGGAAAGAACACAGTGCCTGGTGCAGCATGAGTCACACAGCGACAGGGTCACAGCACCGCTTGGCCTGAGCAGACGAGGCATCTGCTCCACGTGCGGGAGGCTGAACCGGCCCTGCGTGGGTGTGGTCGGGGTGGCTGGTGGCCTGTGACACACCCAGGTTCAGAGCCACCGCTGCCCGACATGGCCAGAGAAGAAAACCGAATCGGTAATAAATCGTAAAGCTTATTATTCTGACCCAGAAAGTGTCCCAAAGTGACCCAAGGCTTGGGTCATCCATGAAAACTGTTTTAATAATTGTACTTCATCCTTGAATAAACAAAACCTGGACCTTGGCCCAAGAAAGACATCCACTAAATATCTGTTTAGACCACAAGGAACTCCTTCAAGCGATCCCGCCTTCCCGGCCCAGCTTCTCCAGAGCAGAAACTGAAACCATCAGCACAGACTCCGAGTGGCAGTTCTGGGCACCCTCCACACCCATCAACTACCTCGGATACACTCGAAACACCTCGGAGATAACAGACAGCAGACAAAGGCCAGCCCCTTTCCAAAAAAGAGGTGGAGTGCAGCACTTACAACTAAGTCGAGAAGGAAAAGGTGTCTGCTGGGTCTTACTGGGTGTACTGGGTCTACAGGGTCACTTTCACCACCATAGTTAATTAAATACAACAGAACAGCGCAAGGAAAATTCCATCACAACAAGCAGCATTACAAAGTACCCTACACAACACATTCACTTCTACATCTTGCCAGGCAGTCTGTGGAGTGCCAAGCCAGCCCTTCACCTGCAGCTGGTTCCCACACAAGCACCCCCCTCCCCCCACCAAGCCCCTACACCGCCATCTTTGGGTCTAAGGAGATCGTGTCACTGCCTCGCCCTTGGGAAGAAATGAGACACTCAGCTAGATCTCGTTTAACTCTCTTAGCCTTGGCGCGTTAGACACAGACATCTAAGGCGAGCCACCCAAACTCCCAACACAGCCATACACACATGGCAGAAAGGCAATCTAAGGGGGGAAGGGGGGCCCGCGCTGAGCAGCGCGGGCCCCCCACCTTCCTGACTGACTTCAAGCACCTCTCCCAGCTGGTGACTCGAGAGAGGAAGGCGACATCTGCTGCCCCAGACGAGGCTGCTTCCTGGTAACACTCTGTCTGAACAGGACCCCAGCGTAGCCAGTGGGGGTGCTGGCACCTCCTAACAAGCACACTGTCTGTTCGTTTTCTTCCCTCCAGTGAGCACACGGGTATTCCCAAGGGTAGTCAGCTCCTGGAGATGCACCGCAAATGCTTTGGCTCTTCTGACCTGCTCGTCCCGTGCAGCCCATTCCACCAGTCAGCCAGCAAGTGATTCTAAGGGGAGCTCTTCTCTCGGCACCATCTGTCCTCCCCAGCATGGGCAAGGGAGCAGGAAGAGGGCACCGAGCAAACCGAAGGTCAGGGGGTGCCAACTTCTCTGTTCCTTCCGACCTGAGGCATTCCTGGAGGGCTGAGTCTTCTCTTCGGGGGACACACGGGCATGCCCGAGGCCCCGGGACCAAACCACTTGGGGACAGCAGCTGGCAGGGCACCAGTGCTGCGACTCACAGCCATGTAGGTGGAGCGACGGGACAGCTTCCTAAAGCAGCTTGTCTTTGCGCTCCCCGGTGCCAGATACTTGAGTGAGTATGCCAGAGCAAAATCACTTGTCCCAAAAGCCTGACGTCAGGTACGGAGGCTGATCAGCGTCTGCGTGGGAAGCCTGCATTTCTGCTCCCTGTCGGGGCTGGGGGCAGCGGCCGCCAGCTTCTGTCTTACCCTGGGGAGTACTTCCCCTACGGTACAAAATGGGTATCAAAAGGCATGTTCGTATCTTTTCCAAAAGCAACACTCACATCCGCAAAGTCAGCCCCACGGCGGCCTCCGTGGGTGCTCACGCTGGGGCCATGGGCTTCTGGCTGCTTCGCAGGCGGGCGCCTGCTACTTGGCCTGGGCCTCCTGCAGGAGGGGGAGTCTGCAGGTGGGGGACCCGTCCGACCACGCAGGAAGCTCGTGCTGCAGCGGGGTCCTCCGGGGGTAGAACGTGTGGCTGACGTCGTAGTTCAGGAGGCAGCTCAGTGACGCCATGTAGATGTCGGCGAACCGCGACAGGCGCCTCAGGAAGTAGGTGGGGTTCTGGTCCGTTCGGAACAGGCTTCCAAACTGGGTGTTGAAGAAACTTTTGGTCATTTCTCTGCAGAAGCATGAGAGCACAAGTGGGGGTCAACGAGCTTGAAAGCGAGTAGACGGTTCACAAGTTGGTTACAGACACAGCAAAACACGGTCGTTTACATAACGGGTATAAACGGGCAACAGATGCTGAAACAACCAAAAGGAAGGTTTTTAAAGCTCCATTAAAGTTGTGGGTGGAGGAACATAAAGGGCTTTTAAACTTGAAGTGAAAAACCCTTCGATACGAAACCCATCGATAAGCGAGTCGGTCAGAGACTGGAGTCAAATCTCCCCTCTGCGGGATGAGACGGCTGCTTCCTGTGATGGCCTGAGGTCCCTGGAGTCTTCAAGGGCAAGGGGCCCAATGACAATCACCCTACACGCCTTTCTCCCATCGTCCAATATTGTATACCCATTTTAGCGCCATCATCATCAAGGGAGAATAAGACCCCATCAGCCAAGTCTCGAGAGGGTGGAGGCGGGGCTGATTCAGGGCTTACGCAGGCTGGGGTGGGGGGTGGGTCTTCCCCTCTCCATGCCCTGGTGCCCCGCGACCCCCACCCCGCTCTCTGGGCCATCAGCCTGTTCTCTCTCAGCAGCCAGACCCAGGCAGGGACTATTTCCAAACCTTAGATGTGGCTGTGCCGGGCAGGGGCTCCTGCGAACGGGGCCAGACACAGCGTCCTCCCTAAGAAGCAGCCCTGTCCCAAAGCCTCTCCTGACAACCGTTCCCCAAGACGCAGCCCTCCGACGTCCCCAGCAGCAGGCAGGCTTGCTGCACCGACACTTTCTGACACTGGGCTTGTGTATACCACTGAGTTGCAGGGTTCACAATCAGCAGCGGGGCTGCAGGAGCCCCCACAACCACTGTGGCTCAGCACCCACTCTAACGTTACCTCAGCAGCCTCGCCAACCACGACCTTCAATGGCTGGGACCAGAGACGCCATGGCACTGCCAGCCTTGGGGAAATGTCACAGGTCACTAACAACAAGTGGCTGGTTCTGGCCACTTGGGATCCCATTCAGAGCCGGGCACTAGAAAAGGGCTGGCCACTGGGGATCCCATTCAGAGCCGGGCACTAGAAAAGGGCATTAGAAGCATCCTGGGTGGGGCCTGGGGAATCCGTGCAAACAGCGGGCAGGGTCTGTGCAGCGAGAACAGGGAGCTCTTACCTCATCTCCTTCCTTTCCTTTTTCCACTCCTGCAAAACCAGCTGTGACTCTGCATCCCTGTGAACCTGCAGGACACAAGCTAATTATTGAGACTATTCTGGTTGCAGATAAACTCAGCAGGAAATAGGAATGTTTATCAGGCAGCTTTTCTTGGAGAAATTGCATTCCTTTAAGTACTAAGAGGCAGACGCACGCATGAAGTAACAGATTCTCAGACTTCTCGGTGGCAAACCTCATTTCTTCACCAAATTGCTCTTGACGGGTACTGGGAAGCTATTAATAAACAACGCCTTGACTGAGCAGGAAATACAGAAATATTTTTGCGGGCTGTGTTTAAACATAATGCATATATATCAGCACAAAGTATCTGTACAACACAGAGGTACATCTATCTCAGATATGTATTACATACCTAAGCAGACAACACATACTACCTGCTACACACATTACCTATGTGTAAATATTACAGGCAGTGAAGGGTATGGCAGCTGTAACCATCACGTGTTGCAAGCACGTGAAAATATGTACAAACATGGAAACTGACACAGATATTTCTCTTTAATTTGTGCAGTGGGAACAGGACTATAGTTGCTTTTAATTTTTTTTCTTACTATTATAGTATCTTTTAAAGTGGTTAAGAGGAAAAAGTATAGTTGTTTTCGTAAAAGGCAAGAAGCCAGAAAAGCTCGATTAGATGGAATCAGATTCCCCAGCAGGGAATTTTCTGGTTGGGCTGCAATACGAACAAAAGGCAAAAAGAAAATGACAGCTGTGGGCCACTTAACAAAGGACATCTCATAGACATTTTGGCCAGTCAGGAGTGACCAAGGGGACAGGTGGGACCCCCTGCAACTCAGGGTCCCAGGGGTGCCGCCGTAGAACCTGGAGGAAAATACCCAGCAAGCCAACCACCTGCTGTGGGTGGGGAGCCCAGGCCCCCCTGTCTCAGCACATCTGCCCGCCCTTCAGCTGGGTGAGCAGTAGCTGTGAGACCCCACTAAGGGCCTCTGCCACTTAGGCCACACCCGGGGTTGAATGAGCCTGTCACCTCTGCCTACACCAGTGGAAGCAGTGACCACCAGATGGCCACTGGCTGTCCAGGGCTGCCGGTGGTCCTGACTGGTCCCATGAGCACAGTTTTAATTAGCGTTCACATTTTAAATCTGCAAATTACTTGCCATGGAATTTAGGCTCCACCAAGCACTAACTACCCCTCTCTCAGCGGCCACCAAGGAGATCCATCCTTCCAAGGAAACTAAGGCTACGCTGGGACCGACTTCATCTGGTGCCTGCAACCTCCATCTGCGCGCCCTATGGCTTCCGTCTCAGAGCTCGCCTGCATCTCCTGGACCCTCATCTTGCAGGACGATGAGGACAGTCACAGAGGACAAGATGATTAAAGCAGTGGGTGCAAATGGTGAACCTTTCTGGCCTGGCTTGTTGACACAGGCACTGGCCAAGGTCAAGGTCGGGAGTCTCATCTGCAATGCAGGGACAGCTGGTCCCGCCCGTCCCACTGCAGCTGCGCCAAAGGACAGAAAGCAAAGAAGAATTTGAGGCATCTGACAATGGTGAGGGCTTTGGTCTTTTTGACTAAACACCTTTTGCAACACATTCAATAAAAATCTGAGCTTTAAAAAAAAAAGTATGTGACTAGATCAGAAAAGGTAAAATGTGGAGCGTGCACGAGGAATTGTTACACATACATACATGCACAGAGGTGTGTGTACATGTGTGTACGCATCTTGCACACACTTATATATAGACACGCACACGTGCACAGACACAGACACACACGTACGGATACCTTTTACTCAGCAACTCCTCTGTGCCAAGAACACCGCGTCCACTGTGAGGCCCTGCACTAAGCCTTGTCATCATCGGCCAGCAGGCCCACTGTCTGGAAGCCCCCAAAGGCTACATGAGCCCCCTTTCTGACACCTGCCTCTGTTTCTCTGCTGGTTCTGAACTCAGAGTGCAGCCAAGGATGACAAAGCTCAAGTGCTAAAAAGATATGCAAAGAAGGAGGCCCCAGAGATCTGGGTTGGGTGGGGAGCACTCCCCAAGGAGGGACTTCAGGGTCTTCATCCAGCTTCCACGAGGGCACCGGTGGTGGCTCCATCCCACCTGCCCTCCCAAGACCCTTCCTCACACTATAAGGCCGCAGGTCAGGTCAGCTGAACCAAGTGAGAAAGTGAGGTCCCCATTTTTTGGAAAGAGGGTCACTGCTGCAAATGAGAAGTTGCTTTCATGGGCTGGAAAATCATTGCTCAAAATAATATCCCACACTAACCATCCAAAACTGGCCTCGTAACTACAGAAAGAAAAAAGTGCTCTGAACAGTTTGCTGAGCCAGCAAACTGCAGGCAAATAAAGGCTGCATTTTAAAAGGTGAAATGATGCCTCTTGCAACAATGTGGGCGCATGGTGGGGTCATGATGCTAAATGAGTAAGTCAGAGGGTAAAAGGCAAGTTACCGGGTAGTTCCACTAATTTGTAGAATATTAATAGCTGAAGAAAACAAAACACAACAACAAAAAACCTCTTGGACTCTGAAAAGATACCAGATGAGAAAAGAGAAGCATTGCAAGAAGGGATAATGCGAAATTGTATTGGCCCTGGAGCTTTGGTAATGGGTGAGTGGAGTGTGTGCATGTGCTGAGTTGTTAAACTACACCACCAGAATTAGTTATGTGACTGAAGAAGAAAGCAATAAAAAAACTCCGGAGATCTTGACTGTTGCTTGGACTCTCTCTAGTAAGCCACAGGGACTAGTCTGAAGTGTTGGCTCCAGAAGACCCTTCATTGTGCAGGTGGGGAAACAGAAGTAGACTGGAGGAGTCACTCGGCAGACTAAGAACAGAACCAGGATGAGACACAAACACCGGCAGAAGTTTTTGAATCCCAGTACCCCATGAGATAGTTAAGGGACTAGTGAGGATGCTGAATTTCCACTGGCAAAGAAACAAACAGGTGTGTTCACAAAACTCCAAGAGACAAAATAACTCTAGTAGGCATTTGCAGCTGACTGAGGATGACTTAAGTCACATATCTTTCAGTCATAATTTAACAGAAAATGCTTGAAATAACTCTGACCAGTGAACTAACTTCAGGCTTGAAGAAAACATCGGGGAGAGAATAAATTCCAAACCTGCATCTGCTCCAACAACCCGGTCAAAGTCTGCAGCCAGGTCATGGTCTGGATGTACTGCTCAGTGTTCATGATTTTGAGCTCAGATCTTAATTCTGGAATAATGGCACCAGTTCTCCAACCATGCTTCAGGGTCAAATCCTGATCACAAAGATCACAAAAAAGTCAACATTAAACTCAACAGAATTTAAACCATTTCATTTCCTTTCCCAGATGCAACTGGCATTCATTGAATTACTTTTTAATTGTAATGGTTAGTTATTAACGAAGCTGAATTCAATGAATTACATTTCATTAAACCAATCTATCCACAGGCTTTGGCTATTTCATCCCCAAGTCAGTTTCTGTTCTGGAAATAATTGCTATGTGAATCACAGCCCCTGCAGAAACACACAGTCTGGAATCATTAACTATAGTCTGCAACACAACAATTAGGTGGGGGCAGAAAGAAATTCAACCTCAATGCTACTGAAGGTCTTCACTCAATTCATTCAGAATGCTGGGTGCCAGGTCTTTTGTGTTATGGGGAACTGAGACTTGGAATGATCATACAACTTAAGCATACATGATTACCTTTTTCATTCCAGATACTGTCACTCCATAATTTGATAATAGACCAGAATATCTGATGTCAGTTATGTTCTGGGAAATTTTAAGATACACAATCACCACACTAACTAGCCACTTGGCAGTATCAAATACTGCTCTTTGCCAGACCCTGTTAGATTCTGAAGACAAATCAATGAACAAAAGTGACAAGTACCTACACTAAGAAATATAGACAACAAATAAGCAAGTAAATATATAATGACAGTGGCCTTAATAAATTTTAAGGCTGAAATCATACAAAGTAACTTTCTGATCACAGGGAATGAAACTAGGTAACAGTAGAAAGAAAAACTGGAAAATTCACAAATATGTGGAAATCCAATGGGTAGAAAAAAAATCACAAGAGAAATTAGAAAATAATGAGATAAAGCTACAAATACAACATACTAAAATTTGTGGATACAGCAAAAGTAGTTCTAAGGCTACTTATATTATATTAATCCTTATACTAAAAAAGGAAAAAGATTTCATATCAGCCACCTAACTTTAGACCTCAAGGAACTATAAAAAGAACTAAACTGAAAACTATTAAAGCAAAGAAAAAGATTAGAACAGAAATAAATGGTAACTAAAAAAACAAACAACAACAGACAAAATCAAAAGGCAACAGACAAAAACCAAGAGCTGCTCTTTCAAAACTTGAACTTCATTAAGGAAAAATGTGAGCCTCAAATTACTAAAATAAAAAATGTAAGCAGTGATGTTACTAACAATTCTATAGAACAGAAGGAGCAGAAAAGAATGCTATGAACTGTTGTATACCAAACAAATTGGATAACCTAGAAGAAATGGGCAAATTCCTAGAATCAAGAACCTACCAAGAGCAATTCATGAAGAAAAAAGCAAATCTGAACAGATTTTGAAGACTGAATGAGGAATCACAAAGCTTCCCACAATGAAAAGTGCAGGGTCAGATGACTTCACTGGCAAATCCCATCAGACACTTTGACGCCTTCTCAGAGACCTAAACCCACTGGACAGGTGTAACTCCACCAGGTGAGTGCTGGAATCACCTGCAGGAGTAGCACTGTCACCGGCACTTGAGTCACCTCCTCTGCCTCTACCACCACCAGAAATTCTGAGACTACAGAAACCAGTGGAAATCCTACACCTGTGCCCTAAAAATATGTCCCAAAGGGTTCTACTGCACATCTGACATAAAGCTCACTGCCTTGACGGTACTCAAACACATATGAGACAGACTTACATGTGTACCTACAGGCCAACCCAGCATAGGTCAAAATACTCAGAAATATCAATGCTGGAATTGGAAACTGCAAAATGACCTAGCCTGGGTCCCTAAGTAAACATAAATTTATCCCACAGGGAACCAAGGTTGGTAGTAATAAATAGAACTAATTCAATCTTGGTCCAATGATAGATTAAACCGTAACTCAAGCGCTGCCAAATTCCTCTTGTCCTTCCAAGGGGAATAAAAAGGCTCATTTTCACATAGTAACTGTTTTTCTGGAAATGCCAGCTTTGCACTTTTTCAAAGTGACTGGCAAGCAAAAGAAGCCTTGGCTGTTGTTACTTTTGTGTTGTTGCATTTGTATGTCTCTGATGCTTAATAATAAAAAGGAGAGACCACTGGCATCTATTCTTATTAACTTTTTTTTTAAGATTTATTTATTTATGCATCAATAGTTAGGGTGTAGGCCAGAAGTGGGAGTGGGAGGTTGAGAGGATTCACCAAAGACAGAGTGAGGAGCAGGACAGACAGATGGACTGAAATACACTGCTGAGGGGAGCAGTGCATGAGACAGGAGAGGTCTGCTGTACCATGTGGGTTATCTCCCTGGCTGGGTATCGAACTTGTGCTACAGTGGCTGCAGATAGCTTCATAGTGCTGAGACTTAACCCCTTGAGCCACCAGGGAGGCCCCCACTCATTACTTAAATGGAACTATTATATTGATAAAGTGAGTGGGTTGCTAATTTCCACAAACACACACACACACACACACACACACACACACATATATATGTATATGTTTCACAACTGGTATACCCTATTCTGAAAAAATGAGATATAAAAAATGTAGCCTGGTCCTTGTTTTTATGAAAGCACAAAAGTGTCCTTAAACAAGAGATAATTTTAAATAAAGGGAACTGACATATCTGTCCCCCAACAAAGAAACAGGAAAAAAGCTCCTCACCGCCAGGTCACTGTATATGTGGTCACCAAAATACAACACTTTAGATCCTCTCCATCCAGTAAGCTTCAAAAATTCATATAAATTGCCCTGCAGTATGAGGAAAATACAGATATTATAACTTTTGACAGAAACCATGTATAACCCATGACCCAAATATCTATTTTTTTAGAAATAAATTTTGCTTTATTATAATTCATTTAAAATATCAAACTAGAAAGACTGAAATATCTTAGTATGAAATCTTTCATACTTTTCTACGTCAAATACACTTTTCACAACATAATTGATTACCTGTCTCTGTGCTGATCTTTTGATATTTAACACTCTGTGCCCATCTGTTGATGTCAACTACTAATCGGCTGTGTAATTTCAGTAGCTGAGAAGCACCATGATTCACTTTATCAATCCCCTGATGGTGACATCTATTTTATCATGTACTTCATCAGTAAATATTCTGGTAGCAAGATTCAAACAACAGTTTAATAATAGTCCTAGACTAACCTCCTAAAGTGAAATGGCTATATCAAAGCCAGTTCGTCAAGGTTAGAAAATATACTAAATGCCAAATCTAGTAACACAACATAAATGTAATAGTTATTCAAGAATCTTTAAGCCTGATATACCAACATATAGTAAAACTGTACATAAAAATAGGTCATCAGTAAATAGTTATTAATTTGGGTTAAAGTGTGAGTTGACGAAATATTTCTTAGAGGAAATTTCCAAGATTTACTGCTGGCATCTTTAGTTTTTTGCACTATAAAAGTGTTAGATTTGACTTTAAGAAATGGTTCAATTCTGGGTTAACTGAGATACAACATACTGAAAATAAATTGACTTAGCTTCAATTGCACCAAGTCAGAAACACAAGACTGGAGCCAGGCACATGGTGAGCCTCACCAGAAGTTAGCTGTCACCACTACTGACCACAAAGCAAAGCCACAAAAAGGTAAGTTGGTCATGAGGTACCTGCTTGTAAATCTGGCCTTTCTGCAACTTGTGGATTTTATCCCAGAGTAAGACACCTTTCTCATTCACCTTTCGGAAAGGTCTAACAACAGAAATGAGAAACATTATGATGTGTGATAGCAGTCCAGGCTGTCTTCCATGTGGTCACTGTCCAGTTACAGATGGGGAACAGATCCTCACACCTGAAAAAGCCCTAAAACCAACACTCCACCAGCATGTACCCTGGCCTAGTGTTTCTCCTCCCACACTGTGGACCTAGCATCCATGCTGATGTATAGTGAAAAAGGCATGCCAGAAGCAAATTTAAAAAATTGGAAAACACAATGATTATAGGTAGTCATTCTGGCATTCTGCAACATTAGAAAGCTACAGGTGGCTCAGAAAGCCCTTTAGTTGAGAAACTTTCTTTAACCCAAATTTCCCAAATGTAAATTTGAACACGCAGAAAATCTACTTCATAAAAACAGCTTGTAGAACTAGCTAAACTTATTGATGTTTACAGGAACAACGTGATGTACAAAGCTCTTAAAATATTTTAGGGCCCTTTGTCCCACCCACTAACGCTAAGAGCATTCTTTACTCCTCATCACAACCCGAAACACCCTGCCCCCCTCTATTCCCCAAAGCAGAAAGCCATAAGCCAGGGATTTACTCCACTCGGTGCATATCCTATGCTGAAGACAAGTTTTGCACAATCCACTGCAATTCCAAGTGCACCATTTAGGGGTCTCTCTAAAGAGCGACCACGGGCAGTTGTTGCTGCTGTGTTGCTGTGCACAGAATGCAGTTGCTCTCTAATACTAGATCTGGAGTTTCCGCAAGCCTGACTCACAGGACCATGGCAGCCAGAACTGAGAACCATCTCAAAGTTGTAAGCTGTCTGCCATGTGCTCTAACTCCCTCCACTCCCTGCAATCACCAGCAAGGGGGTTAAAAAATCAAGCACAATAATCTCAGATGCCTGTGATTTTTCCAAGTAGATTTCCCCAAGACTCTATCTTAAATATTCACAGCAGGAGTTAAAAAAAAAAAGTCAAGTCCCCTGGACAGACAGACACTTACCTCCGTTTATCATTAAAGAAGCTGGGTTTCTCAGCCTGAACAATGACTACGTCAAACAGGTCCCTCCAGTCTTTTCCAACGATATACCTCATCCCTTTGTCCCTAGAATGACATGTCAAGCCAGGTCAATCTAATATTAAAGGGAGTAACTAATTTTGCAATCTCCTCTTTCAAATGCCCATCTGTATTTCAAAGTAAGTGGAATATGGGAAGTAAGCCAGCTGCTGGCCCGGAAGTACAAGAACAACTTACACAAAGCTACTGGGGCTATTGGTGATAAGAAACATCTTCTTGCCATGATCAGCCAGCTTGGCCAGCACCGCCCGGGTCTGCTCGGCATAGCAGATGTACTTTTCTACGGGCAAAAGAAAATTCCGCACACAGATTGAGCGTGAAGTCATCAGTCGCAAGTACGTACCAAATGGGGCAGATGGTTCCGCGCTGTCAGGGGCGCTTGGGGGAAGAAAAGTCTTGGAAAGCTTGGTGCAGGGTGGGTGCATGGATGCCTGAGGTGCCATCTCAGTGCCCAAGGGATCAGTAGCCCTTTAAGACCCTGCCTTTCCAGTCCAGCTGGAAAAAAAACATACGGCTTCCATAGCCAGCTTCCTCTCCTGAGTCAGGGTTACCGTAACTCCTAAGGCACGGAAGCAGCCCTGACTGCTAAGGGAGAGGCCTGCGGCTGCATGGTGAAGGGAAAGGCTGAAAGGACCTATGTGATCAGGTAGCGCACTTACCGATGTCTGCTTCGATGGCTCGGTACATTATTCCTTTGATGTGGACGTCTCGAATTGAATCCTGCCCAGAGAAATGTTTGTAATCAGTGAAACGCAACTCAGACAGAGGAACAGTACAAGTGAAACAGCATTCCTGATCGTGTCTTTACCAGTCTGGCAAGCCAAGCACGTAACAAAACCCGAATGCAGGGGCATTTAGACAGGAGGTCCCTAGGAGATGTCCATGGTCACAGCAGCCGTTTTCGAGAGGGTGCCTGGGAGGAGCTAACTGTGTGAGTAATTCTGAATCAAGAGGATAAAGAATGATGTGTGGTAGCGTGCCCAAGAAACTCCAGGTCATCTGGACAAAGGGGGTTGATTACTGCTCTTTGCACCTTTGCACACTGCCTTCCCCCTACCCTGCAAAAGCAGGGTCTGTTGTCTAGAAAAAGAATAGAGATGGATGAGAAGGTCCTCCTCCCAGCGAGGAGATGGTGACTTAGAAAGAGATTTCGGGGCCCTCCCTGATGGCACAACGGATTAAACACAGCACTAGGAAACTATGGCAGCCGCTGCAGCACAAGTTCTACCCCTGGGCAGGGAGCTGACCCACATGGCGCGGCAGACCTCTCCTGACCCGCCCACTGCTCCCCTTAACAATGTATGTCTGTGAAAGTGCCTGTTCTGCTCCCCACTCTGTCCCTGGTGAATCCTCTCACCCTCCACACCTCTGGCCTGTACCCCAGTTCTGTATGCATAAATAAATCTTTTTAAAAAAAAAAAAGAAAGAAAGCGACCCTGCCCAGCTAACACCAGAAGAGGGAGGCAGGAGCCACGGGGGGCGGGGGTGTCTGAGCATAGCCCCCTCAGGAGGGCCCACAGCTCTCCTGGACATGCATGGAAACTTTCTGGAGCCTGTGGCAGGGGACTAAGCTGCTGGCAAAACTGCTTAAAGCCTTAAAAAATGAACAGAGGTCAGCGCCTCTGCATTGTAAACTCAACCCAATTACCTTCAGGCTTGATTCAACTGCAGGAGGGCCACAGTTAAGACCAAGCTGGAGTCAAGCCTCCTGTCTTCAAATTTAGGCTCTGCTATTTACTAGCTGTGTGTCCTTGGGACGTTACTTGACCTCTCTGAGCCTCAACTGCTTTATATGTAAAATGAGCGTGGTAATAATGAGGATTTAATTATTTAATAGGCATAAAGCGGTCAGAAAAACAATACCTGGGCCACAGAAAACTCTGCCTAGTGTTCACTATTGCTGGCAGTAGCACTTTTAGTAAAAAGTGGACATTCAAATACGCATCTCTCTTCATGAATGCAAACTACAAGTGATTCCTAGAGTCACCTGAAGATGAAGTATTTGTGTGCATAATAGGATGCTTAGAACTAAATAAGTAAATAAACCTAATTCAAGCTATGCCAGACTTACATTGACTCACTCCAGTTTATCCTTTACCTCCTTCAATCCGTGATTTGGGGCAGTCAAAACTTCAAATGAGCCATAAACAAACAATAAAAATAGTGTCCTATGTAACTATGGATCATTTTTAAATATTTTTAAAGAAATGCA